GTAGCAAAGACCAGGCTTACTGGTCTGACATAGATTGGTGGAACCTCTGAGCCTATGACTCTTAGACACTCTTCAGGCTTAGAACTGGCCCCATGGCCCACCTTTCAACCAAACAATAGATAGCCCTATGGGGTGAACAATAACACCAGGGAGGTACACATTACTTAGAACAGTCACCCGTACAACATCAATAGGACAGTATTTGCTGCAGGATAAAGCTCAGAAGGCAGGAAGGGATGGGAAAGGAGGATGAATGGAAACAGTAAACACAGGAAGGAAGTGGGAAGAGTCCTGTTACCTTGTAGGGACTGCATTCAACATCACAAAAGAAAGTGTGTATGAACAGTTGAATGGAAAGCCATTCTTCTTTGTAAGCTTTCACTAAAATCTCAATAAAAACTTAAAAATTAAAAATGGGGGAGGGAAAATTATTTATTGAGCACCTGCTCTCAAGCTGGGCACTGGTCTTAGAATGGAAAGAACACGTCCCTATCTTGCCTATGATCCTGTGGAGCTTCTGTCCTAACTTCCATTCCTTCTGTTGGGATTTCATTGTCTAGGGATAACAATAGCAATCACTTACATGGTTTACTTACTGTTCTAAGTGCTTTACCTATTCTGATATATTTAATCCTCACAACAACTTTAAGAAGTAGGTACCATCACCATCCCCATTTGACAGATATAGAAACTGAGACACAGAGAGGTTATGAAATTTGCCCAAAGCTACACATCTATTAAATGATGTAGTAGAATTTAATGCCAGGCAACCTGCCTCCAGAGTCCACGTGGGTAACCATTACACCACCCTCCTCCTTGTCACCTTTGATGTGTCTCAGCAAACAGAGTTTGTCTTAAGCCAGGCCACCATCATTGGCCATGCAGCTTCAAAGTTCACACGTCCTGCAAGTCCTGATAACACAAAGATGTAATTCCTTATATCCTCATTTTGATATTTTTGTCGTTTTCCTCCTCATCTTTGTTGATGTCAGTGGGATCTGTTATTGGATTTGCTAAGTCATTGGTAATAATGAAGGAAACGGGAGAAATGTTTGATTACAGGAGAAAAGGCCTCTGGTCACAAAGGGGAGGCACAAAGGGACTCCTCTCAAACTTAGGTCCTGATCTTTCAACTACTTTTTTTCTGTAACTTCCTGATGATGTTTATTTCTTCCACCTGGATATTATTGTGCTACAAGAGTTCTGGTGACTCAACTGTAAAGCACTTGGCTGCTAACCCAAAAGTTGGTGGTTTGAACCCACCCAACTGCTCCGCAGGAGAGAGACCTGCCGATTTGCTCCTGTAAAGACGACAGCCTATGAAACTGTATGGGGCCGTTCTGTTCTGTCACATGGGGTCACTATGAGTCAGAATGGACTCCACAGCAACAGATTTTTGTGCTATTATTTTCCATTTGCCCTTTAAATTTTATGAAGTGCTAGTTGCTTTCCTGCCAACGTTCTGTCTTGAATGACCCCAATGTAGGACCTTCCTGGCCCCCAGCTATTTCAGTTTTCTTTTGAAACCCAACTGTTAAATATTCCTTATCATTAATATCATCTCTTGGAACTCAGTGGGCATGGACAGGATGGAAAATGGAAGTTCAGGCCATGTTGATCGAGCATACAGTGTCATACGATGTTACAACTGATTGGCCTTTTCTTTATCCAAGTCAAAAGGCCAAAGGAAATGAGGCGTTTGGTCTTTCTGGGTTGAAACTTTCCATCCTGCTGCCTCATGATGTCTTTGAGAGCCTCTGCTTCCCATTGCCTGTTGACTCGAGCACCGCTCTGGGTTCTGTTGGAGTTTGGGGATGAGGTTGAGACTGAACACCAATACTGTCAGCGGGTCTCCTTGGCCTTTGGCTGTCGGCCTGGGAGCTGTGTCTTGAGGGCTGGGACTGCAGGAATGGTCGCTTGCCCTCAGACTCTCCCAGACTTCTGCATTTCCATGTGCTCCCGTAGGGCTGTTCACGGGAGGGGCTTATAATGGGTCCCCACTCCTCTCCTTCTGACCCCACAGGCACTGGGCAGCTCACTGGTTGCTGTGCCCATTGCCAAATAGGTCATGCCATAGATGCTGTCCCAGGCTGCCAAACCCTCAGGCACCTGGGCATTTGGAAGTTGTTCTATAGGCAACTCTCTGTCTTGGTTGAGAATGTTGGGTACAGATGGTCACTCATTTGACCATCCTCTCCTCGAAACCAAGAAAATCTAGATTCATTCCAGTTAATTTTTAGGATTCTGGTGGAAGGATAAGGAGCCATGGTGGCTCAGTGGTTAAGTGTTCAGCTGGTAATCAAAAGGTCAACAGTTTGAACCCACTAGCCTCTCCATAGGTGAAAGAGATGGCAGTTTGCTTCTGTAAAGATTACAGCCTTGGAAACCCTATAGGATCTCTGTGAGTAGGAATTGATTCGACAGCAGTGGGTTGGATAGAAGGATGGAGATCAGAGAGGCTTCCCACCCTGCTATGCCATGGATGTGGTTCTAAGGTTGGTTACTCCTACATTAATTTCACTTTGTATCTTTTACAGAGAAGCTTTATGGTGATGTTTCCTTTATAGAAGAAAGACACAGACATCGATATGAGGTAAGGTTCCATGCTGAATTTCCACAGAATATGGAGGCTGAACTGCAAGGAACCCTGTGAGTATGAGGGGGCTACTGTAAAAGGTGTCCAGCACTGGTGGCATCTGTGGTTCTCAAGGAGGTGTGCCAAATCCCCCACAGTCTCCACTTCCAGAAGAGGCAAGTGGGAATGGGAAGACTAATCTTCTTGCCTTTACAAAGAAGTATCTATACACAGGGCACATGGAGTCTCTGTGTTACCCTAAATGTTGTCTCTTAGCTCAGAATAGGGTCAAGAATATTTATCCTTAACCCCTTGCCCTTCGTTTTGCCAGGTTTGGGTAAAGGAAGACTTAAATGTTTGAAAAGGAACCAAATACCCCTTGGGACAGGGACAAGTACCTGGAGGAAGTTACCTACGTATTAGAGCATCATTACAGAGGCGTCACTAGGGTTGCTGTTACCCAGTGCTACCACACCATGGTTACCACTCATGGTGTCACCCATGCACACAATGGATCTCCTTTCATACAGACCGTACAGAATCCTTAGTAATGTTTATTATCAATTTTAATCATAGAATAATATGTGATAAATATAGTTGTAAATTGCTTAAATGTAATATTTCTTGGATTCTATGAATACTAACAACAAAATTATTTTATAAAATCTTTCTACATTGTATATAACATTATTAGTTACAACATTGCTATAACTGAGCAGAAGCCTTTTTTGATTTTTCACCTTCTTTTCATTTAATTATTACTCCCTTCTCAGAAAAGGTATTGATACAGGTTCACAAATACTAATTCCCACAATATTGTAGTTAAAACACCACAAAATTTGACAAAATCAGCAACTATGAAAACATTGGCAGCAATGAAAACAACAGCACATGCTTATAGCACATACAGACAAAACCACGTGATTCCAAGCACCATTGTAATTGGGTAATAATGACAGCTGTGGCCTGAGCTCATTGGAAGGTTCAAAAAGTCAGTCAGCATGGAGTTTTAGACTTGTAGGAATGTTGATACATGTAAGCGGGGCTCACAAAAAGTGTTTTTGTTGTGACAACTAACTACGGGGATATGTTAATAAAAAATAAAAAATATCTGCTCAAACACTGAACAAAAATGTTATAGACAGTCATTTTGGTGTCACTCCCTCTGACAGTGTCACCTGGGGCAGTCCACACCAACCACACCCCCGTAGTGACAACACAGCATCACTGAAATGGAAAACCCACCCAGTTACTGTATGACCTTGGCATACACTGATGTGCCTGTGCTGCCCTGCAGGCCAAAGACATTTCATTTCCTGTTTTTCCAGGTGAACCCGAACCTCATCAACCAGTTTGAGAACAGTGACTTACAGTTTGTAGCTCAGGATGTCGACGGAGAGAGAATGGAAATGATTGAACTGGCAAGTAAGTGGGCACTTTATTTTTGAAAAGCTTTGCAGTGTGCTTACATCTTTTTGTTGACGAGAGACATGTTGTTATGTTGTTAAGTGCCGTCGAGTCGTTTCTGACTCATAGCGACCCCATGCACAGAACGAAACACTGCCCGATCCCACGCCAGCCCCACAATCCCTGCTATACTTGATCCCATCATCGCAGCCACCATATCAATCCATCTCGTTGAAGGCCTCCCCCTCTTTCGTCGACCCTCCACCCTACCAAGCATGACATCCTTCTCCAGGGAATGGTCCCTTCTT